TTTTCAGGATGAGGAGATGCATTCAGGGACTAGGGGATTTAGTCATCAGCAAGTCAGGAAGAGGATTTTGTGAGAACTGAGGGAGAGAAGGAGGGAGGCAGGGAGCGCTGGAAAGCAGAGACTGTCCTTTGCTTTTTCTTTACTCCAGCACCAAATAGCAAAATGAAACACATTTGACCTTTTGTTGTTAGGACCCTCTTGAGAGCTCTCTGTGAGATGTATCCACTTAAGGGCCCTGTGGAAATTCTGCAAAAACTCCTATATCTACTTCAGCCTGGAGCTTGCCTGTGAAACCCTAATTGTATGAGCTCCAAGACCCCACAGCAGGTAGGAGACAACAAGCTCGGTGCAGCCGCCTTCTGCAACACAACCAGCCAGGGTCTCACTCCTCGTAACTCAGTTTATAAGGACTGGCCGGGAGATGGATGCTCAAGTTCCCACCACTTCTCCTTCACTAGGGCAGAGGGGCTTCAGGGAGAGGGATTTTGTGGACAATATGAAAAAGTAGCAGAAAAGGGCATAACAGAGAAATGGAGTGGGAAATGAGAAGAATTGAATTAAAAGCAGAGAAAAGCAAAACCTGTGAGAAGCGTGCACACTTGCTTTTCAAAATAAGGCTTTCTGCTTCCAAAGACTGATTGAGAATATTCAGTCTTTCAACAAATCAAAATTTCAATCCTCATCCAATCCAAATAAATATTTTACATTTCCAACATCTGTATGCTAGTACATCTCATTTTACAGGATAAATGGATCCCAGAAAAGGTGTACGTATATTTTTAAATGGCATTTTTGATGTACCAGAAAATGTTGTTTATGACTGTCATGAATGTTTTAGAATCTTCTTGATTTTATTTATAAACCCCTGTGTTGGATGTTTTTAGGGCTTCCCAAATAATATTTGAGAAATGGGTGATAAGATGCTAACATTTAAATAATTATACAGATTCATGATTGTATAGGAATTAAGTATTCTCTTCTCTCACTTTGATGGACCTACAGATTTAGGCACAGGCAGTCTTGGGGACCATAGAGCTTGATGCCATATATTAATTGAAATGTTGGTGCTAGTGAAATTGGGGCAGGGAGGGTCACAGAAGACCCAAAATGAATAGTTCATTTCTGAAATGAGTTAGAATTGACAAATCTAGATTGAGTAGCATGCTGTCCTTGACATGATTTATCTTTGCTTTGACCTTGGTCTATCCTGAGATTGTATACAGTAGGAATTTCTGTAAGTTGACCACCCAAGGGGCTGTAAGAAACTGGTCAACCTACAGAGGTGGTCAACATAAAGGAACTTCCATTAAGTACATATGGTACCCAGCTGGCCTCTTAAAATTAGGTCAACTTGAGGAGGGGGTCAAGGTAGGGAGGTGGTCAACTACGGAGGTTCTAGCATAGTTACTCCATGTGTGCAACTGCCTTGGTTTATTAATCCCAAAGTTGAAGACTGTACAAATGATTTAATATATATTGATCACTCACAATGTGTCAAACAGTACACACCACAGCCAGAGGAGCTCTACATGGAGACTCAACAGAACATACATCTTACACACATAGCAAAGACATCAATGAAGGCGGTAACTCATTCAAGGACCGGCCTTGAAAATCAAAGGCACTCCTGACCTCTCATCTGTGAGGAATGGGTCCTGCATTCACTTCCAGATCTAGCCATATTCTTGCCTTTAATCTCCTCAAAGTCAATTTTGCCTTTAAAAGACTACTAGATGTTCAGGAATGCAAACCATAGGACAGAGGTGTTTGATGACCCTATCCGGAAAAATAAGCATGGAACTTAGCTATCCTACTAAAAAGAGCAAACTAAAAATTCACAAAAACAAAAAATCAGAAAGGTTACATCAGTCAGAACATTGTTACCTTAGCATTTCTCACGGTTGGTATTTCCAGGTAGAAGACGGTTACCAACACACACTGAAACACTTCTCTGCCAATTTAGTGAGATGAATCTATTGATTGGCTGCCAAAAGTGAGACCTGGTGACAATGCTTGCAAAGAGGATTACAGAACCTCCTGTCAGCCTTGGGAAAGGCAGCTGCCAAGTATCAGGCTGGCTCAGTGCCAGGCCTTACTGCCTGTCTGGATCCTTACAGGAAAAGGTCTGGGTACACATCTTAGCTACTTAACATTAACCAAAATGAACAATTAAATAAATTTTCTGCCTACAATTCCATATGGATTTTTCTGATACTCACCTCTGACTGATTTTTTTTTAAATCAGTTTGATTTATAAAGTAGCCCCAAATAAATTTCAGGTGTAAGAATTAACTAATAGCTATTTAATTGCCAATTTTCACAATTTTAAAGGTGTTCATAAGCATAACCTAATTCTCCAACCTCTTTACGCTTTTCATAAAGTCCACAAAAATGTTTAAAACTTTAATTTTAAAGGTTGGCATGACAGAAACTGGTGACAGCTTTTCTTGTAATTAATGGAAATACATTTTTCTTGCAACTAGCATAGCAGGCTAATCAGGGAACACTTTGCTTTTTAAACACTTTTACAACCAGGAATTAATTTGTGGTGAAAAAATTATGATGCAATTGACCTAAAGTTAGATGATGTTTCTTCTCAACAGATTGAAGCCATACAGTGCCTCATACATGGGAAATGTGTAAGCCAACTGTTAAATAAATCCTGTATGTTCTCGTAACAATGACTTGTCTCTGTGATTGATCAAGTATTGTCTGAAGGCTAAAGTACAACGTTAACTCACTGTCAAATTCAACTCCAAATTGTTAACACCTTTGACAGGTACACGTGAAGCTTAATTCAGATGTTTCTGAGTTTCATTAGAAGAAGGATAATTCTTAAGGTGCTTAATCTTGGATGCACATTAAAATTACCTGAAGCACTTTATAAAGTGCTGACACCCAGGCACTCTATTAGACTCTCTGGGTGAAGGGCCTAGACATCCTTTTTTATTTGTTTTCTTAAGTTCCCCTAGGTGATTCTAGAAGCACTCAGAGCTGAAAATCAGTGATTTTTAACCTTCCAACAAATTCTACAGTGAATCAGATTCCTCCCAACCTACTACCTACACCCTCTACATGTGCCCATCAAAAAAATGCTCTAAGGAAATGTGAATTGTCTGACCTTGAGCCTCCCAACTAATAGAGCTGCTGAGAGCACAGAAGCCAGTCCTTGGGGTGCCTGGGAGATGAGCTTGTTTGGGGCAGAGGGCATAATGCTGTAACATACGCTGCCGGGGTTGGCTGCATTATAAGCACACAGGCACTTTGTTCCCCAGTCTATGGATGAAGTTCAAAGTCAATTTAGTGCCATTGGCAGGGGTAACCTGTATCTCCCATTATCATCTGCTTTTTCCTTCCTGCCAAACCAGGCTTTTGGGTGGCACCTGTAGCTCAGTGAGTAGGGCGCCAGCCCCATATACTGAGGGTGGTGGGTTCAAACTCAGCCCTGGCCAAACTGCAACAAAAAATAGCTGGGCATTGTGGTGGGCAACTGTAGTCCCAGCTACTTGGGAGGCTGAGGCAAGAGAAGTGCCTAAGCCCAAGAGCTGGAGGATGCTATGAGCTGCAATGCCACAGCACTCTACCGAGGGTGACAAAATAAGACTCTTCCTCTAAAAAAAAACAAAAACAAAAACAGGCTTTTTCAGCCCTTCTTCACACATTCAAAGTCGAAGCCTGTCTCTACTAAAGAATCCTACCACTAACTAGCCCAGCCATGCGCTTCATGCCCCAGCTGTGGCTGCGGACATGAGTGCAATAGGATTTAACCCTTGTCATCCCTGTATCATTCCTCTCTCCTTTCCTTTCCTTTTAGGGCACACTTTAATGAGTGAATGAGTTTGTGTCGGAGAGTAAGAGAAGCAGGAAGAAGGGAAACCGTGATTCTTATTTTTAGTGAGGTGGGGAGTACTGCAACCATACAGATGGTGACTGAGTCACCACAGGCACAGGGGCTGATCTGACAGCTGGATACTGTGTATCATTTCCCAAGATCCCTGCCCTCACTGCTCCAGTTGCCGTTCCAACTCTCAGGGCGGAGACCCTTACCCTAGTGCCCTGGTTCTCATTTCCAGAACTCTCGGGATGTTAAAATGATGATTCTCGGCCTGGCATCATGCCCAACAGTCTTCACCTGTTCCCTTAACCCTGGAAGCAATTCGTGTTTGATCTATACGTCTTGTGGATGGCAGTTTGTTTTTCTGTTCTGTCCTTAAGTAAACTTCTCCGAGTCCTTGTGTTCTGAGTTGATCATATTCAAGTACCACTGCAGAGCAGGTGCTGAGCAGTCAGATGACAGCTGTTGATCTGTTGCAGTTGGGCAATTAGGGAATGCTAGAGTATGCTATGGCACAGGGTTTACATGGAGTGTGCAGAAAATCAAATATCCGAGTGCCTGTCTGGTGGCAAACACTGAGTGTGTACACACACAGGATGTCTGTCCTTATGTACAGTGATATAGCCTCTTAAGTTAATTGGACCTTTTCTTCTTTCTCTCTTTCTACTTATCTGTCTCTTCATTAACTAATTCATCTCATCACTTTGAAATAGCAGTTGGGGTGTCAGGAGGAGAGAAAACAAAAGCAAGACCTTTCGAAAGGCGTCTCGTAGGTGTTTTGTGCTATCAATTCAAGCAGTTTCAAAACTGAAACTCTTTTGGTGTGTAAAGGTCTCCTTCAGGAAAACACTGAAATCCTAGATATATATTTGTAATACATACTTACCTGAAATCCTAGAAATTCAAGAGTTCCAACTGACTAAGCAACATCAGGTGTTACACCTCACCTGGATCCTTGTAACAACGCAAACGGGAAAGCTGCACCACGCTCAACACAGGCATTTAACATCCCACCCACCCCGGTCTTTCATCTCGCTGCTGAGCAAGAGAGGGGAAACAAAGAGACAACCATAGTTCGGAAAGACTTTTCAGAACCCGTCTTTTTGTTTGGCCTTCAAGGGCCTAAGGAAGAAATAGTAAGTCCTCTTCCTTTTCCCTGACCTCCAAGAAAAGAATGAGACTAACCAAAGCCCAGTTACTATTTTACAAACACACCGGTGGAGAAGTTGGCTGGGCTGGACATTGTGCCCTGTGTTGGCTTAGCTCTGGCTAGGAGTCAGCTATGGGTGGCCAGTGGACGTGGAGCTCCCTAGCCGAGGCCTGGCTCAGAGGCATCAGATGACCACGCTGACAGTCATGGTCTGGCCGTGCGGCACAATCTTTCGTGGCCAAGCGAGCAACAGCTTGCGCAGCTCCTCGCGGAAGCTGTCGTGCAGCCAGGCGTAGATGAAGGGGTTGTAGCAGGCAGAGCTCATGGCGAGCCAGTGGCAGAGCAGCTGCACCAGCCCGAAGGCGTAGGGGTCGATGGCGCGCGGGTCGAGGTCCCGCAGCAGGTTGAAGACGTGCAGCGGCAGCCAGCAGACGGCGAACACCACCACCACCACCACCAGCAAGCAGAAGGTGCGGCGGCGCCGCGCACGGTCCCAGTCTGCCTGGCTCTGGGTCACGCAGCCGGGCACCACGCGGTTCCGGAGCTTCACCGACACCCGGACGTACGACAGGAGGATGACCAACAGGGGGAGCAGGTAGGTGACCAGCAGCAGCCCCCAGGCGTAGAGCTGGCGCTGGCGCTCTTGGGAGCCCCAGAACTCCTCGCAGAGGCGTACGTCGTGCGGCTTGAGCTCGACGTGGTAGGTGTGCACGGCGGCGGGCAGCGCCAGCACCGCGGACAGCGCCCAGATAGCCAGCACCGCGTAGGCGCTGAGGCGCAGAGAGATGCGCCGGCGCAGCGGGTGCACCAGCACGACGTAGCGGTCCACGGCGATGGTGGTGAGTGTGAACACCGATACGTACACGGTGACCGGCTGCAGGAAGAAGACCAGGTGGCACAGGGCGCCACCGAACACCCAGCCGCGCGGCTCGAAGGCGTAGGCCAGCGTGAGCGGCACGCAGGCGGCGCACATGAGCACGTCGGACAGCGCCAGGTTGCCGATGAGGAAGTTGGTCACGTTGTGCAGCCGGCGCACCCGTGCGATCACCAGGACCAGCAAGCAGTTTCCCACCAGCCCCACGACCACCACGACACTGTAGAGCAGCACAATCAGCCCCTTCAGCTGATGCACCAGCTGCAGGCTCTGGAAGGGCGTGAGGGCCTGAGCGTCGGGACCAGCCTCAGACGCATTGGCCGCTGGAGCCTCTGTGCTCTGGTTGGCCGGAGTTGTGACCGCTGGAGGCAGCCCAGAAAGTAAGTCAGGGACCCCGGGGTCCCGAGTGGGCAGTGAGGCCATGACCACCTGTCCAAAGATAATCAAAGTCCATCACTTCAGATTCTCAATCCACCCTCCTACGCCAACAACACCCCTCCCCCATTACCCAAGTCCTCCCTTTGGAAAAATTGGCCACAGAACAGCAAAAGCAATAAAAAGTGCTGAACTCCCACCTCTGTAAAATAAACCTAAGCCTAGACATGCACTGTTTTTCTTTTCTTTTTTTTTTTTTTAAACACCTCCTACTCGGTTTACAGCCCTCGCAATCCACACAGGCCAGACCCAGGAGCGCAGACCTACCTGTGAGTGGGGCTTGGCTGATGGGAAAGCTCTCGGGGAAGGAAAGGGCAGAATCCTTCTGTCCCCCAGCAGTCCTCCGCTCACGACGGCCGCCAGGCTTCTCGCTTCTCTGCGGGAGCAAAACGGATCCAAGGGTTCCCAAGTAGGCTGGCAGCCTTTGAGGACTAGGAGCGCCTCCCCTCTGCCCCGCCCCCCACTCACGCGCCCTTGTATGGAAAATGAGGGCGGAGCGCCCTGCCAGGCTGTGCTCAGAGCAATGTGGGGAGGTTGGAACCAAAACAGGGAGGTGGGGCTGGCAAACCTGGGCCAGAGTAGGGAGGGGAAAAATCTCCTGCGCTAGAGCTGGCAGCGCCCCGCAGAGTCCCGCTCCCAAGGAGCGCGCAGTGGAGGAGGCAGAGGACAGGTGTGAAGCGCCCAGCTGTCGCGACGACCTGGTGAAAGCTCGAGAGAGGGAGCAGGGGAGAAAGTAGGAGTGAGGGGGTGAGATGCATCAAGAGGTGCAGGAGAGACAGACGGAGCCGTCCCAAGCGCAAGATCTCTACCGGCTACGGTGGGCAGAGTCTAGAAGATCTGGTCAGGGGGTTAAAATATAGAGCCTGGAGCTCGTCGCGGGCCTTTGGGCCACCGCCATCCCGCCGACACACGGAGACCTTTGCTTAGGCTGCGGTGCTTTCCTCTGCCAGCGGGTCTGGCCTAGCCAAAGGGAGGGTTCGGCACCACGGACAGCTCCCGCCGGTCCTGCAGCACCGCGCGTAGCGGCTGTGGGGAGAGGCAGAGGACCATAGTTAAGGAATTTCTGACCCTTTCTGAGTCCGAGGCATTTGGGAAAGGCACTTGGCCTCGCCGCCTGCTATCTGGTCTGAGGCTGCCCACTGTAGCTTGGAGTGGAGGCAGATGAGCAGGGTCTCTGGGGCTTGGAGGGTGGTGACTTTTGCTCCTGTTTGGGGTCACCACAGAGCCAACGACTGCACTGTCTTTACTTCCCTGGGTCAGAAATGCAGCCCTCTTGCCAGTCTTCCTGCACAGACGCACTTCAGTATCCGCCCCTGGCTGCTGCTCTGCTCAGCCTGTCTCTTCCTCGCTACCAACCTGCCTGGCTCTTCCCGTCCAGAATCTAAGTTCTCAGACTCGGACCCCACCCACTCCCTCCTTTAATAAACACCCCAGGCCTCTTCACCTCACTTGAGAATTAAAACATATATATATACTAGTAGTTGCAGGATTTCAGCTACGATAACAAAGATAACAAACATCTGAGAAGCTTCCAAGTTTCATAAAATCTTTAGATTAAGTCCGCCTTGAAATGCAAATTAACCTGGGTACTAGGAGGTAAGAGACAACCCGCAGCCTCTTTTTTCCTTTTTCTAGAAGATGGGGTTTCATTGTCCCCTCTCTGGTAGGCAAGTCCTTGTGCTTTGTCCACTGTAGCTGCAGATATCCTGTTAGACTGGAAAGGGGTAATGAATTATTCCAGCCTCCAAATTCAAATGAATCACTCATGAAGGGAAAAGTCAACATTGAAACAAAAGCAATCAATTTTATGCACCCATATCTATTCTGAACTTACACTCCCTGAGTTATAATCAATTTAGCTAAAAGCAGTATGATTTAAAAAAAAAAAAAAAAACTACAAAGATCCAAATAAGATACAATCTGTGTCTTCCTAACCCCTTACCTGGTTGTTTTTCTTATCACATTCACCAGCAGGGTTTTATGCAGATGAACCCAAGAGCAGAGGCATTCTTTCACTTCTAAATATCTTAAGCAAAGGAAATTGTGGTAAAGTAAGTTAAAAAAAAAAAAAAAAGGATTCGGGATGAATTTAGATCTCCCAGGTAGAACCATTATTCTGGTCAATATCATTATATTGATCAGTGATCGTATATAATAGTAAAAGTAGTAACAAGACATTCTTGTTAATAACTAAAGGCCATGCAAATATCGGTATGTGACAGTTCAATATTGGGATCAATATTCACAGAAGAGAGTTGATCATTTGCCAAATTCCAAAGTCTTCCAAGGGTTTCTCTTATCAATACTTGCAAGGCAGAAAGAAGATGAGCATCTTAGAATAAAACAGCTCATATAAGATCTTCATTCCCTGGAGGCAAGGCGAGTCCTTCTCACAATTAAACCATGCCAACGTTCTAGTTCTTTCCTGTACTAATACTGCTCCAAACATCTGAAAGATCACAAATAAACAAAACACTTTGGGGATAATTGAAGGGAACGTAGTATTTCATACAGTAGGCTGAAAACTAAGGGATTTTATCACCACCCCTTCCCCAGAGCCTTCAGTGGCCCATCAGCCCCAGGTTACACCCATTAGCAAGGCATTTCCAGCCAGCATGCACTCCCACTCTGATCCCCCCTCATTTTTGTAGTCTGGCTTCCCACACACACACACATACCATGTTTGCTCTATTCCCCGTCTCAAGCCAAACTTTGCTCCTGCTGACATAGCCTCGCCACTCCTGCCCAGTTTCTCAGAGTTTATTTTCTTCCTCCAGAATGTCAATTGTTTCACCCCCACTCACCTCTACATGTCTGCAAGACCCAGCTCGGCTATTACTCTGTTCTCAAAGACTTTTCCATTGCATAACCTTTCTGTCTTCACTACTTTCTACCTTTGAAATTGCAGAACTATTTAACCCTGACTATGAACTCTTTATGGACAGGGGTCAATGTCTTGAAGCACCTTTGTACCTATAATATGCCATGAACCAAGCAGATTACCCAATACCAGTTTGTTTTAACTGAATGAATAAAAATAGCCTCCATTTAGTTAGGACTTATAAGCATTATGTTAAGTATTTCACATGAATTGTCTCAATTGACCCCCTCAAAACTATTCTTATACCCATTTTACACACCAGAAAACTGCCTCATCAAGGCTAAGTAACTAACCACAATGGCACAGTTAATAAGCAGGAGGGGGTGGAATTTTTCAACTTAAATCTGCCTAATTCTGTGCCCAAACGATTCCACCTTTCATACTTTACTGCCTATGAATGATGATATAAACACCAGCACAGCCTGAAAATGCAAACAGGTGCAAATGGGATTGACTATAAATATAGGGACACACCCCCCCAGTAGCTTATTAAAGGAAGCTCTAAAATTGTTGGTTATAACTCTAATCTTATCATGTTTAAGTTAAACAGATCTTTAAACAGATCTTTTGCTTCACCCAAAATTTTTGCTTAAACAGATCTTTTGCTTCACCCAAAATTTTCCTTGCTTCTACCCTGGCTTAAGGCAAAACTTTGGGCCATATGAACTTCAAGGGTTAGTCTTTGCTAATGATGGCAATAGGTGACATAATGTGGAAAACAGATGACAGACACAACAGAAGTAAGAACTGCATGCCAGCTGCCAGGAAGCTTGGTTAAAGGGATTCGACGATCTGATGCCAACTAAGTTCATGATGAGGTCTATAGATTAGCCCAAACACAGGGGAAACCACTAGAGATGACTCTAATTACTAACAAGAGAGTGATTGTTTGAAACATGTTTAAGTCCAGGCGATAAGGGGCAGAAGCTCCCCCAGAAGTGAGTTTTTTCTTCTAAACTTGTCCTGTCCAAGAGCCAGATACTCCCTTGGCATCTGAGGCAAGGTGACATACCAGTTCTAGAAGTCTCTCCAAGCCACTGCCTGGTCCTGGCAGGGGTGGCCACCTGAGGTGTCAGGCTGTGTTTCCATTAGGTGACTTTGAGCAAGTGCTCTTCATCACAGACTCTACTTATCACATCCAGTTTCGCTATGCACACACTGGTCAGGTCTCAGCCCTCCCACATAGATTTGTCCAAACAGGGAGTGAAGAGTTAAAATCTATTATTCTGATCAGAAATGATCTTTATATGGCTGAGCTTTTCTATCTTATAAAAATAAAAAGTGAGTCCCAAACAGCCCATGTGTCCACCAACCCACAGCATCCCCCATGTGGTGCATGGGGCCGACCATCTTGCTTCTGCCCCATTTCTGTTGGGGTCCACCTTGGGTCCTGACCTTTTGGGTTGGATGCCTAGACAAAATTTGGGTTTTCTCTAGCCAGGTTTGTGTGAAACCTTTGGACTATCCGCTTACTGCTGGATAACGGTAACGAAGCATAGATCTGTTCTGGGAAGAAAGCTTACTCCTAGGGCGGCGCCTGTGGCTCAAAGGAGTAGGGCACCGGCCCCATATGCTGGAGGTGGCGGGTTCAAACCTAGCTCTGGCCAAAAACTGGAAAAAAAAAAAAAAAGAAAGCAAGCAAGCTTACTCCTAGATGGTCTCACCCATATCAAGGTAACAGGATGGAATAAAGCAACCATTTGTTTTTCACACAAGTCACCTATCAAGCTGTACTTGTTTCAGGCAGACTTTGCATGGATTCCAGGGAATCTCTAGGGGACAGAGGCAACTATTCCTGGCATTGTCTCAGAGTAGAAAATCTACAAGACAAATACACTTTTATTTTATAGTGTGGACTCCCAGCAGTAGCATAATTTTGTGACTAGACTGGCCAAGTCTTGTGTCTCTTCTATGTTTTCAGTGGCCCCAAGTATGGACTACCTCCCCAGAAGAGGGGTGGGTAAGCCCCCAGAGAAACAGAAAAGTTGGGATAAAAGGTAATGATGAGACCTCCTAATTCAACATAAGTATATAACATATGTGTATAAAATATATCCATTATTTGATAAGCCCTAGACAAAGTAAACCTAAGAGAAATACCACGTTTCCCCGAAAATAAGGCACTGTCTTATATTTATATTTTCTCAAGAAGATACACTAGGGCTTATTTTCAGGGGATGTCTTATTTTTATTAAGTATAATACAACAATCTACATTTATTCAAATACTGTTAAGTTATCTTCTCTTGGAACCTGACAGGGGGAGCTGACTTTGTTGGTGGGGCCAGTGCTAGTGATGCGTGAACTCCTTTCCCCTAGCTGTTCACACGTGCACAATAGGATGCCTGAGACCATGGTTACCACATGCACCCACGCCATGCAAGTGTGAACGGCTTGGAGAAAGGAGCTGTGGCAGATAAAAGGTATTCCAGTCTTCCTTACCCCTCCAAGCCAAAGTGCAGGGCATGGCTATGCAGATATGCTACATAGTCACACCCATCACTATATCTTATTATCAGGGTAGGGCTTATATTTA